GGGTCCTCTCTGCAGAGGCCACCATGTTTTTTACTGTCTAAAACCTTTTGAACATGATACTTCACCACTAGATGTCACTAAATTCCTCACACTGAACCTTTAAGTAAAGTCATTTGTGTTGCCTATTAGAATCCTTCTTTCTGCACTTCAGATTGATCACACTCTTGTTTCATAATTGATCCAACCTTCAACAGATTTTTTAATTTAGCCGCTCATTCCAGAACCAAAGCTTGGCCTTTCCATCATGTAAATTATATCAACAGAACTTTCTCCTGATAGTTGTTTAATTTGTTTGAGTGATTAAGTAACTACCACAGTCATAGATCTGCCTGTAGAGTCCGAGAAAGGGTGTGAGGGAAATAAGGAGTTGGGATTTTCAGGTCTTCATTTGTGACATCTGTGTCTATTTTTTTTGTCTCCAGTTGGAGTACACAGCGCGACTGGACTTCCTGTGGCGCGTCCAGGCTAAAGAGGAGATCAACGAGATGAAGGAGCTGCGAGAGCACAACGAGAATATGCTGAGGAACATCCTGCCCAGCCATGTGGCACGCCACTTCCTGGAGAAGGACCGGGACAACGAGGTCGGTGGCAACTTCTCTAACACACACCAACGCACCATTACGGTCTGAATGTGTCCACAGAAATTCAAAGTCTGGTAATGATCATGTAGGAAATACTGCGAAGACAAAAAACACTCACATGAATCATTTCATGGGTAGTCTGGTTTGATTTTTCACCAGCTCAATCTCAAATTTCAAATGTAAGGACCTCCAACAAACACATGAACTCAGCAGAGTCTTTGTCAAATCAGCATTAACTTGTGATATTATCTTTACTTTGACAAAGAAAAACAGGAGTAGCTAACTCTGACTAATCTGAGACTCAGAGTTAATTTTGAAGTCCCCGTGAATCCACAACATTTTTGTGTTGTTGTAATTTTGATCCGGTGATGACACTTACACAAGTCACAGGGATCAATTCAGAGGTGAAACTGAAAACCCACAATGCTTCATTACACAGAGGAACAGCTATAAGACAACAGCTGAAACAAGGAGCTGATCTATAAACTTCAATCACATTTACCGTTGTTTTCTCTTAGTCTAACAGTCGTAGTCTGTAAATAAAGATGGACGACGTGTCTCCACTCCATTGGACAAAAAGAAAACTTAAATATCCCATTAACTCGTCTCGTGCTATTGACGTTGTGGAGTCAGAGTCTGTGCAGAAGTGAGGTCCCGTCATGAAGTTTCACCCTTTTACACATCATCAAATAACTAATTAGAACCAAACTCATCAGAAACATGAACAATTGAACATGAGCGAGTAAAATTTGATTATTTCAGACGGACGTTATGGACAGAACTACAGAGCAGAAAACTATGACCCACGCTCAGGTGGCCTCCAGGCCGTCAAGCTCAGTATGTCAGTTCTCAGCTCAGAGTTTTTATACAGCACCTCCTCCTGTTCCAGAAAAGTCTCCTACGTTCATTACAATTCATTCCCTGAGCGTCCATGTTCCAGCCCGTGAAGAAAAGGCTCAGTAATTGCTTTTTAAACAACTGTACAGAGAGAGAGAGAGAGAGAGAGAGCAGTGGTGAGGTGGTTTATTCCGTTCCGTGTTGGAACACACATTAACACACAAATGCAAATGGATTGTTCGAACCATATCCCCGTACGTTAGATCCTGATCCTGATTAATAAGACACAGCGATGATTAAAAGTGTGTGAACATTACAACTCCACAGGAGCACGAGTGGGTGATGAGATCCAGCGTACTGTCAGCGGTCAAGTAACCCAGAGGTGGATGAGATCAGGTCTCTGTGTGGAGAGCTTCCACACCACAGGGAATCTTTTCATCCCCATAGAGTCCTTGCTCGGGGGGGTATTATTTAATGAAGCCAGGAAGCTTTGAGGTGGTGCTCGCACTGAAGATCCATGATTGGTCGAGTACTGCAGCATTTTATTCTCACCAACTTCTAGACGAGCTCGTAAAATGTGACTTTAAATTGAGAATTTCTGGTGTTTCTCATTTCTTGTGCTCGTTTCTTTTCTAGCGTTGACTTTATCCAATTAGCAAAGTAGTCAATCTAACTTAAGCGCTGTATGATTTGAATCTTTTTGTAACTGTAGTCTTGCTTGATTTATATCATCACAGCTGTATAATCTTCTTCATTTCCATCAGCATGCTAACATGCTCACAATGTCAGCGTGACATCAGAGTGACATCAGCGCAAAAGTGCAGCTGAGGCTGAAGAGAGTTTTGACCTTCAACTAAAAGATTTGGACAAAGTGACCTTGTGATGACAAAAGAGTTACGATGAAGGATCATTCAGACCCATTAGGCTTTATCCTCTAAACGTCTGGACCAGACTTGTGACAATCCATCCAATGGATGTTGGGATATTTAAGTTTGGACCAAAGTAGCAGAGCGGCTGACATTAAAAAAAAACCTTTTGGATTTAATGAGATTTATAAAGATAATGAGAGTTTAAAAGTGTGAGAAGTTAAAGGCTGGTTGATAACTTCACTCTCAGGAATTAAGATAAAGAAGGAGGAGACTTTGGGATGAATCCATTTAAATATTAACTATCAGGACAGATATTAAAGAAAAAAATAAAAAGGAAACCTTTTCTGTCTTCAGCTGTTTGATGTGTTCTTCTCAACTACCAACTCGATAATAACCGATTGTCCTGGTCAGCAGAGAGGACAGTTATCTCACGCTGGGGTCAAACCGTTGTATTGTCCTCGTCGGGCTCCTTCATTATCGACTCCTCCAATCTTCCGTCGCCTCCTCAACAAAAGGCGAGCAATGAATTATGAATGTCACGAGAGGAGAGCTGATATCATTCTGCTCCCATGCCTGTTCCTGATTAAAAAGGACACGATTAAAAATGCATCCATTAGGATAGGTTGGGTCCTAATCACTCGTTACATTATTAATCAGCCTGTTTATTGTTCCGTGGTTTAGATACTGCTCTGGGTTATTAATGGGCTCCTACACCCCTGAAGAGGTGTTGATGATCTCTGGAATTAATCAGGTGACAAAGATGAGTGTCATTGACATCAGCATCTTCAATTTTAGGTGTAATTTAAGATACGATTCACAGCAAATGTTTCAGTGCAGGAGGACTCTTTCAGATCTTGTGCTCTCTGCTACAGTTTCCTGTTTCCCCTGCGTTGCGTGACAACCAAGAAGATCGGCAGTCGACAAGTCTCATACAATTGTACCGCACAGTTTGAGAGATTCGACTCCTGTTGCAAAGCACTGTTCACCTACGATCAGCCCATAGGCGCATGTTCCAGCCTTGAACAGAAACACGTCAGCTCTGGTCACGGGGACTCACTGAGCAGCTTGATTATTTTTGAAATTGGACATGAATCATAGGCTTTGGCCTCAACAGTCACCAGATCTCAACCCACCCTCTGTGAAGAGCAGCATTGACGCTTGAGATGCATCTATATCCATCTCTCTCTGTAGAAAACCATCTCCTGAAGTAGGATTAAGAATTTTCATCAGCAGCATGAATGTCCTCGTGGAAAAAAAGACTAGAAACAGACCAATGACTGACTTGATCCTTAAAGAGATGCAGAGACAAACCAAGAAATTAAATTAGTTTGACTTTTATCAACTTTCACATTGAGGCTTTGACATTTGACTGAGCTCATTAAACGTTTATAATGTCAGTGATGATGTCACACTAAAGTCAGAGGCTTATTTTCATAAGCGTGTAATTATATTAAAAAAAGTCAAGCAGAATACGGAGAGGCAGAGGGAGAGAGAGAGAGGCAGGGGGAGAGTGAGAGAGAGAGAGAGAGACACAGCGATCCTGACTTCTCATGAATTATTTAGCTGTAATGTTGAACTCTGGCTGGACGACGTGTTTACCGACCTCTTATTAAAACATTCCCACAACGACAGGATTCATTTCTGCATGTGGCATTAGTATGTTGGGACATGCTGTCTCATGTCAGTAGACCTGCTGCGCTGTTTGGACATGTGACAACACTGCCCCCCAGAGGAGGAGACAGTGTAGTGTAGCTGCACCCGCACCTGCTGCAACATACATTTCAGTATCAACATGCACATGACTGTCACTAATGCTTTAGAAGCATCGACCCTCTGGTGCATGATGTGTAAACATGTTGCTAATAATAGCAGCTGGAAACAGGGTTGATGGCTGAACCAAGAGACTGAACCAACATGCAAACTTCTAAAACTCTCTGTAGAACTGAGAGGAAGAGAAGTTCATTTTCTACAGCTGTTAACAAGATAAGATAAGAATTTCAGACTGTCAGTACGAATTGATGTCCATGAATCACACAACGCCACGATGGTCAGCCAAGCACGGCGCACACAGCGTTGTTAGTGTATGTGTGTGATGAGTGAACCTAACGAGCGATTCGTTTTTGTATTGAAATATATTACAACCTCCAAGAAGCTGAGAATGTAAACTACACAACCCTCAAACAATCCTCCACACTCTCCACAATAACATGACTTTGTTTGTCTCAATTAAAGAATTGTCCTTCTGCTTCAGAGGTGGAGATCAAAACATGTGACTGTTTTTCCATGTCAGGGAACAACACTGGCCTGAAACAGAATCAACTTAATGTCTCATCTAGACATTAACATTTGCACGACAGAGACTAAAAAACCTCAAAGTGACTGCAATTCTTTTTTGTTTTCATGGAAAACATGACAATAAGCTTTCCTTCTGTGGTGTGTGTCCCCGCAGGAGCTGTACTCGCAGTCCTACGACGCTGTGGGTGTGATGTTTGCCTCCATCCCGGGCTTCGCCGACTTCTACTCCCAGACCGAGATGAATAACCAGGGAGTCGAGTGCCTGAGGCTGCTCAACGAAATTATTGCAGACTTTGACGAGGTGAGATCATGGGACTTTGAAGTGCTCCCACTCGTACTTCAGCATTACTTTTGAACATGCAGGGGGCTCAGGTGTCTCTGAAGTCAACATCCTCCGTGGTTTTTTATTACTATTAAAACATCCATTTGCCTCCCAGAACAACTCAGAGCAGCATCGCTCACATCTGCAGGTCAGCGTTAGGTATTTATTCCAGATGGAAAGGAACCCCCACAGGGAACATGACCAGATACAAGGAGTACCGACAGAGTATAAGCGCTCTTCAAGTCCGTTGAGTTCCTTTGTTCAAGACCAAAGCAGCAACATATAGCAAATACTTTGGTACATGTCAGTTTGTCATCGTGTGGTTTAGTGTAGCTTTCCTGGATGAGTCGGTTCAACATCTACACACCACAAAACAGACTTTATCTGAAGAATCTGGTCATTTAAGTCAAGTTTGTCGTTATTTTACAGCCATTACATTTTGAAATCATCATTTAGTTCATAATAATATCATCTTACTGCTACTTCTAACCTGGACTCTATTTTACATATATATATATATATATATATATATATATATATAAACTCCAACTAGGTGAATACACTCCTCCACATCTCAGCTTCAGTATGAGTTCAAAATCCTGCTAAAGTTTTCAGACTCTCACACATCTTGGTTCCCTGGGAAGAGACTGAACAGAGCTGAGTTTTCGACAGAAGATGTTTCTAATAGGAGCTGAGACAGACACCAGCTGAGCTCGCTGCTGCCTCAGGCCACTCTCCTCACTTACCCTCAAACAGGCTTCTCTTTTCTCCACCAGGGAACTCGAGAGAGCGACGGCAAATAATATAGCGGCTGATGATATCCAGGGTTGTTCCTGGCTGAAAATGAACCGCTTGTAGTGATGAATTTGGCCCGAGACGAACGTGATCACTACAGGTGCATCAATATGTTTTTTTCTTTTATAAAAGTAAAATGATTTTACCAATCACAGGAAGTAGAGACGGCATTAAACAATAGAAGAAGAAGAAGAGGAAACATCTGCAGTCTTCACCTCCGACGATATACTGTTGAACCACGAGGATTTGGTGCATTTGAACTAGGGTGGAGTACTGCGCATGAAGGGGGCGATGTTGGTAGTAATACCATAATGATGTCACCATGGCAACCAAATGAACCCCATGAACCGCTTCATTCATTTTCTCCATTCACACAGAAAAACTACGACACACCCGACTGACAACTGTAATCTCAACAGTGTTTAAGGAAAAAGTGCAGTTCTATATCTTCCCTAAGTTTCTCAGACCTCGTCTGTTTTTAACATCGTCGATGATTAAGTTTCTTCTACTCCATGAGATTATTCAGCAAAGACTTGGACTGATTTCATGAGACCAATCTGTGTCTGACGCAGATCATGTGTCATCAGAAAAATAAACTCTTGCCCATGTTCAAAATGTCTCAGCTGCTGGGCGAGGACCGTTTCCAGGACATCGAGAAGATCAAGACGATCGGCAGCACCTACATGGTCGTGTCTGGTCTGTCGCCTGAAAAACAGGTGAGAGCCTCATTCAACCTGAGATCAGTTGTGGTCACCTGCTGTTTGTAACCTGCATGCAGCACCAAGTGAGTGTAAGCCTTAAGAACTGGCTTCCTGCATTGGTTTTTTATTCTGTGAAAAACCACTGTAGCACTCAAAACAGACATAAGCTCACTAGCTTTGTGTACTTGAATGTGCACATGTAGCAAGAGTCAGAGAGACATCCTGCAGCTCTGACAGCCGGGTTAAAGACAGTTTTCTGTGTCAGGTCAACACAGTCCGTCTCATGTCCCTCAAGTGACAATTTTCCACTTTTGTGTCTGACTCCGAGTCATGACGTCCAGCAGACTCACACTCTCCTTCTGCTTTCGCAGCAATGTGAAGATAAATGGGGGCACTTGTGTGCGTTGGCAGACTTTGCCATCGCCCTCAACGAGAGCATCCAGGAGATCAACAAGCACTCTTTCAACAACTTCGAGCTGAGGATCGGTAAGAGTGCTTTGTTTTGTTTTTAATGTTTTTTCCTTTTCATTTAATACTTCTTTTGTTTTATGCTTTAATCCAAATACATTTTCTGTTATGATGCCATCGCAACTACTTATCAGTCATTTCCACTTGTCATACATAGAACCATGTTGGCATTGTGTAACAGGGCAGCTGTTAAATGAATCACTTGTTTGACTTTGGAAGGTATGGCTCACGGCTCTGTGGTGGCGGGCGTGATCGGTGCCAAGAAGCCGCAGTATGACATCTGGGGGAAGACGGTGAACCTGTCCAGCCGGATGGACAGCACGGGCGTGAGTGGCAAGATCCAGGTGCCTGAGGAGACCTACCTGATCCTCAAGGAGCGAGGCTTTGCCTGTGAATACCGTGGTGAGATCTACGTGAAGGGCATCAGCGAGCAGGAGGGCAAGATCCGAACGCACTACTTGCTGGGCCGGGTGCAGCCCAACCCGCTCATCATGCAGCCGCGCAAAATCACCGGCCAGTACTCGCTGGCGGCCGTGGTGCTCGGCCTGGTGCAGTCTCTCAATCGACAGAAGCAAAAGCAGATCCTCAACGAGAACAACAATTCGGGCATCATGAAGGGTCACCACCACTACAACCGCAGGACGTTGTTAGCGCCCGGTGGCTCCGAGGTGGGAGGGGGGCATCACGCAGAAGTGGCTGACAAGACTGAGCTGTCCTGAACAGCAGACTGGAGCTTTAGTTCCATGCACATTTCTCAGAGGCAGAGATGCTCTTCAGGCAAAGATAATCCCAGTGGTTGAGTAAAAACCTCAGTGCAGCTAATGAACAGTGGTTTTCTGACAAAGTAATGTTTGCATACATCCACAATAGAAAAGCTGGTGAAAGTTCTTTAGGAGTCATAACTTTATCACTGCAGAACTGAACACAACCTGGCTCCTGATTACGGAATCGGACCAATCAGAGCATTGTAGGCTTTGTTATTGATTATATATTAAATGATAAGAAGTTTAGATCAGTGCAGTTTTTCTCAACTGACAGTGACTTCAACAGGATTGATACTAGTTGGAGCACAATGGAATCCATTACTAGGTTCAAGCTAGTAATGGAAAAGTAATGTAAAACTTTTTAAGCTTTCCAACCCTAATTATGGTTCTCAAAAGAAAGACCAACACGTTTCTGCAGGGTCGCTCACAAATTGCAGAAACATTCGAGTCCAACAGGTCTCACATGTAGTTATACTGTACATAAGCTGGATCCCTTTTGTTCGACGTAAGAGCAAATCATCTCACGATGAAACTTGCATCTTGGAAATTTGATCAATTCGGCCCCTTGGTGTCAAACAGGCAGATTAGGAGAGTTCAAAATCCTCATCTTAAAAACCTCTTTTGAAAAAGAATAGTACAAATATGCAAATACACAGACAAGTAAGTCCTGGGTTAAACTGTACTTTATAGTGATTTTGTCCATGAGCAGCACTAAGGGGCAATGTTTTTATATGTGGGTCCTCACTGTTTGTTTCTGTGATGCATTGTACGCATTTCTTCCCACTTTCATCAAGATCTACAGAAACACCAGAAAACATAGCAGTGCACCAGCAAACACAGGGAAGATGAAGGCTGCAAGCTTATATCTGTGGAAGTTAACAATGCAGGTTACAAACTCAACAAAAACTGGTGGAACAAAATGAGCGTGTTCATTAGATCTCAAGGATACAAACGATGAATGTAAACAAACTGTTTACAAGAAACCTCCACAGGGCACCTTGATGAGGTTGATTAGAATGTTAGCTTGTTTACCTGGCTCCTAAGCCAGTGAGCTACTCTTTCAACGTTATGCATATCAGGTAGGAAAGAATGACTTGCATATTTTCAGCAGCTATTTCATTCTTCCAGGTTTCCCAGTTAGCCTGACTTCTTCCACTGAGGTTTAACTCAACCAGTGAGCTTATTCCTGTCTCCTGAATCAACTCTGCTTTTGATGAATGTTTGTAGAACTGAAACTCTACTTTGTCCCTGAAGGAAGTGGAGGAGTTGGTGTGGAGGAGCGAGGGAGGAACTTGACGGGACCGCTACGTTCCGTTTTCATACGCCCTCACCTGTTCGATGTCTGTTCGACTGATTCCCTCAGACTGTCTGACGTTCCTCCTGTCGTATCAACTTCCCCTTTTTACGTCGACTGGCCACTGGCCCTTCCCTGTCCAAAACCCAGAGACCCTTTCCCGCTCAGACCCTCGCCCGGTGTTGATGTTTCTTTTTTGTATTTCTTTTATATATGACAACACAATAAAAAGGGGTCTAATTTTCTATATATGGCACATGTCTGGTTCTTTATTCAGTCACATTTCTGGTATTAGATTTGTTGTGAGGAGAATGGGAAGACAACCGGGACTAGGAGGTTCCGAGAACTCAAGAGCTCAAACTATTCTGGGGCGTTCAATGTGTTTCAATGCGAGATGGATATTAAATAAAAAAAATGATTTGCTGTGAGATACACATTTATCATGATGGTGGGTGGTAGGCAGAGTCAGTCTTTACAAAATTGTTATACTTTTTTTTTTTTTTTTAACGGAGAGTTGATTTTCACACAGAAAGTTAAAGGTCCAGTGTGTAAGATTTAGGTGAAAGGATCTATTGGCAGAAATGTTATGTCAAATAACCCATGTGATGTTTTCACTAGTGTTTCATCTAAATTGTATGAATTGTAGTTTTCTTTACCCTAGAATGGGCCCTTTATATTTAAATACTTTATATATCAATACTTTATATTTACATCAGGAGGGGGTCCTCTCTACAGAGGCAGCCATGCTTTTTACAGTAGCTCAGATTGGACAAACTAAACCTTTGGAGATTTTATGACGACCGAAGCTGCCACAGGTTCTCTGTCATGTTTTTTTGACACTTCACCACTAGATGTCACTAAATTCTAAAGAAAAAGCTCCATAATTGACTACAGACGAGCGGCAGCTTACATTTCCACACCAGAGGAAGAACACTTCTCCTTGAAAAAGGTTTCGATGAATCACAGACGAGTCCGAGTCAGAGAAACGTGAAGCGTGAAGAATCTGGAAATGAAAGCAGGCACCTGCAGGATGTTTCCAAACCATCTGGGCTCTGACCGACTGAGCTGATGGTTGATGATCTGAATTAGACCTGAACAGACGCACTGTTCTCAGATACAACACAAATCTTCAGGAGCAGAACTATAGGACTCCGACTTCTGATGAGTAGTTTCTTTGAATTTTGTTTGACTTGTAAGTAAGTTGGTGAACTGCTCTACTGTACAAACCACTGACACTTGACATTTAATGCCTCAAATACATCAGACTTCTGTTGTGTGGGATGATGTGAGTTCAAACCCTGGATATTTGGTGTGTAAGACCAGCAACAAGCTGCCTGTCAGAGCAGATATAATAATTAACAATATTTAGCAATTAAAAGGGGCTCAGCAACTAAAACCCACATGCAGTGTGTAAAAACCTCCACTAGATGGCAGCAGACACTCAGGCGAATATGATTACAGGCAGAGTTCTGCTGCAGGAACGTTTCATCCTCACTGTTATCGACATTTACCTCCAGATACACTTCATCACTGCCGAATGTGAGGACATCTATAATCCATCACTTGCTTCTTCACAAAATGAATAACAGGTCGAGGTGTGATGTTTACAGGACATATCAACGGTATTTCACCTCATCACAGTAAAGACGAACTGATCAAGAAATGTGAAAATCCAAACTGATATTTGATCTGTTTGTCGATACAAAGAAAAGACTTACACGTGTGGTCTCTGATCTCTAAGGTGGACAACAAGAACCAAAACTGGACGGCCCTCTCGTAGCTGGATGCAGCATAGGTCTCTAACTCATTGTAAGATATGAAATCTCCATCAGGCTTGGCATGTTTTGTTTCACCACAAGTGGCGGGAGACCTGTTGCCGCCCCCTTGAAGGTTTTTTTTAAGTGCCCTCGTCTGTACCGTAAGAATCTGTGAATGCAGTTGAACTCCTCCAGGGAGTTGCACCTTCTGACCACTAAGGGTCAGTAGATAACAACAGAAATGTCACGTGCATAAATGCATAATTCCAATAATATCCAAACATGGCAGCTACAGTTTTACTGAGGTCTGGATAATGAAGGGTAATGGTCATACATCCACAAATACAAAGCAAATACTGCAGGTTCAAGTTCACCAAGGTTGAGCTCTACACAAACTCATGCTGTGATTTGCGTCACTGCAGGACGTGAAGTTTTATTTGGAAGTAAACAGGAGGAGAAGTTTTTCCACTGATACATTTGTGTATGTGTGACCGTGTCGTCAACAACATAATTTTGGAAGACTTCGTGCGTCCACACTTTCAAACTTCTTTCAGACAACAGGGCAGATGAAGCCTCAACACACAAACTGATCAAGTCAGACTAATTTGAATAATTATATTTTAATGTTGGAAGAGTTGCATCTCAGCTTTTAAGTATCTTCTACTCTCCTCTCAGTCTCCAGTAGGTTTTCCCAAATAGAGAAAACGCTGATGAATAACACAGTAAATCAAACAGAACTCGGAGCATCCTGTCACCACGACGACAAACACAAACGCCGTGTGTCCAGGAGGGATGGATTCGGTTTTTTCTCGTTTCCCTCCCTTATATGGATTTTCTGTTAAAACGTGAAGGAGGGCGAAAGAGGAGGAAGAAACGACGGGAGAGGCAGATATGGGGAGAACGGAGTTGCCATGGCGACCATTGGCATGTTGGGGGTGCAGTGTGTGTGTGTGTTGGATTTCTGATGCTGGACCTGAGAAAATAATTCTGCAGAGGGAATAGACGGAAGAGAAAGAAGAGCTTCACTGTCACATCTTTAAAAATGGCTATATGCAAGCAGGTGGAGCACATTTAATACCAGGTTCAGCGAGACGTCGGTCATACTGAGGTTTTACATGCCCACATAGATCTGAGAAGTGTAATTACCCCGTGAGGGTGGAGCCACATGGGTGTGTGAGGCCTTTAAATATTTAAATATAATAACGACAAATACACTTCTGTCATAACACATTGGAATTGATATAATAAAGTCATTTGAAGCCTCAATTTTGAGGGTTGACTCGAATTCATGAAAGATCCACACAAAACTTAAAATTGATGAGGGTAAATCTTTAACTCCAACATTCTTATGACACTTAAAACTCTTAGAATTCCAGAAACGTTCAAATCCAGATCCCTGAGCATTGTGTTTATTTTATAAATATACTGCACGTCACGTGTGAGACAGTTTGTCACTCCTGTTAGAGGAGAACACATTTTGACTTGCACTGAAACAACAGCTCTGGTGAACAGTATCAACACGACAGGACAGGCTCTAATGGATTTAATCATCCAGGCAGCCTTGGCCTTGGGGGGGGGGGGGGGGGGGGGGGGGGGGTGTCAAAGTTCAAAGTCGAGGCCGATCTCGTGTATTTGGCTCATTTCTGCTCCCAGAGGTCTTTGACCCGACTGACCATGAACACAACGCGGGCAAATCTATTGGTTCTGTGGTTAAGATTAACAGCCTCACCGAGCTGCCACCATGCTTTACAGATGTGCTGTTGTAATGTTCTCTCACACACAGAGAGACGCACACACACCCAGTGGCATCACAGCTGAGCACAGATTTTTAACTCAGAGCTCAGCAGCTTCTTGTCTGGGTGAGATGAAGCCGACAGGTTGACACAGAGTCCAGAGATTTAATTTACAGTGGATAAAAGTCTCCGTCCAAACCACCAGCACCACACTGGCCCTTTAAAACCAACAAGACCACCTGACCGCAGGTTAAGGGCCCTCACCTCGCTGCCATCGAAACACACTTTGCATCATCGCTTCTCTGCATCTGCTAAATCTGAATAAATGGTTTAAAACATCCACGTCAAACTCACAATTTCTGAAGCCGCTTGACTGCAAATCAGACGTCCCTTTCACCATGGCAACCGCCTCCCTCCATGCCGGTGTTGCTCCTCAGTCGAAGCACAGAGTCGATCACCATCTGGCGGAGAGAGGCGAGAGAGAAACAGACAAGCACACGCTGTTACAGAAAACCACACACGCCTGAAAATCATTTTTAAATGGTTTACCCATCAAGTCTGATCTGGTGAAATCAAAAACATAAAATCAAAATGGTGTGGCAGTGATTTGACCTGCGGTTTAACCCAGATGCTGATCACTGCTGTAGTTTATCTGAGTGCATAAAAGATTCTACTTAAGACACACTGTCCCGCCCCCATTGACTTCTATAGATCGCCCGTCACCTGTTTATTCACTTTTATTAGTATTAAAGATATCACGTGTCCAGATTCAACACACCTGGGCCATTAACAATACACATGGCACGTGTGAAGCCGAGACATACGTTCCAGTAGTAGTCAGTAGACGTGCAGCGCTGCATGAGCTCCTGCATCAGACATGTGATCACACTGTCACCCAGAGGATCCATCCAGCCTCAGTTATTCATATGTCTGTTGTCCACCCACTCCATGCATAGAAATGGTGGACGGGGGGACGGGGGGGAGTGAAAGGGTGCATGGTCAGTGACACAAACGTCCCTGCTCCCCCCCCTCCAGAGACTGGGCGCCCTACATTCAACCATCAAACCCACTGTTACATAAAACCGCCACCACCACACAAGCAGGCTTGCTGCCTGTTGCTAGGCAACAAGCCCTGGAGCCCCGTCGCCGAGCCTTGCTGGGCCGCGGCCGCCGTACCTGGTGGTGTTCAAATGGGTCAGCGAGGACAAAAGAAAAGAGACAAACCAGGCAATCCAATAATTAAAAAATAAACCACGAAGCCACGTCCCTGGGAGCGGTCGGGGCGACATAATGTGGTGAGCGAGTGAGAGAGGACCGAGGAGCAGAGAGGATGTTTTCTTTCAAACTGAGACAGCAGCTGTCTGAATACACTCGAACTGGAGGATGAACATGAATCTCCCCTCAGACATTCCCTGCTTTTTCAGATGGTGGTGGCATGTGTGTGTGTGTGTGTCTGTGTGTGTGTGTGTGTGTGTGTGTGAGTGTGTGTGTGTGTGTGTGGAGGCCACAACATAATGATTTCCATCATTTTCATACTTTTTAAATGGAAGCAGCTGGTCCCGGTATATTTATCCACATTTTTCCTCCAGCATGTTTCCATCTGTCACTTTGTCCCTTTTGTTTTATGAATTTAAAGGAGATTGAAAAGTGAAGCACCAACAGATATGTAATGAGAAGCTGCAGCAGACGAGAGGACTGTTCAGAGAAGTGATCGTCAGAGATCACACAGATATGAATCA